GTATAATATACGTAACACATACTATACATATATGCTTTTTAACAATCAGAGGTAAGCTACCTGACACTTGGAAAAACCGGCTTTTAGTAATTTTTCAGAAACCTTTCTATAAAGTTTCAAGTGTAAGAATCGCGGACATTTTAGTGTTTCATAGCTGTCTCAGAGCTATTGCAGAAACATTTTGCGATATTTCTGAAATATTTGAAATATTTCTAAGAGATTTTTGTAACCTTACAGAAACCTTTCTATAAGCTTTCAAGTGTAAGAATCGCGGACATTTTACTGTTCCAGAGCTGTCTCAGAGCTATTGCAGAAACATTTTGCAATATTTATGAAACGTTTCAATCTATCACATGAAATATTTCAGAAATATTTCTGAAAGGTTTTTGTGCTGTATGGGGCATGCCTTAGAATTTCCATAAGAGCATTAATTGCATTAAGTCCTAATTTTAAATTCAAAAGACCAAGTTCGAAGATTACGCAACAATTCATAGTCCATGTCGTGCATGCAGACGATATGAATGTTGAATATATTGAATAAATTGACGATAAAGATGGAATTATGGAATAGGAAATTTATACATAAAACTTTTTGTCAATAAAAAAATTGCACTTTTTTACACTGTGATTACAGTACAACTGCTAAACATAAATATTTTCAGCCTGTTTGAAAGACTATATAGCACAGCTAACATTTAAACTAAAATTACATTTTTATATGCAAAGAAGAAACTTGTTTACGTCTAACAGAAAGCGCAAAAAATATAGTTTTGATAAATACAAAAGTGCAACAACTTAATAGTACATAAACTTTTGTATTACAACATCAGTGAATTTTATTGATCGTATATCTGGCCATTTTTATAATACTATATATAATTATTATAATAAATTATAATAATTTATAATAAAATTTATAATAGAAAATTTTTTACGAAAAATATAACCTCAGCCAGGGTTTGAACCTGGACCTCCCTTCACTCTAGGCGGGCGTCTCAACCAATTCGACCACCGAGGTAACTTTTGTATTACAACTAAAAAATATAAGAAACTAATTTACTGATCCAAGTATACAAAAATAAATAATTTCAAAAGCGACTATAAAAATAGTTCATAATTTAAGAAATAGTTCATAATAAAAAATAAAAAGCTAGATAATTTGCATTATCAACGCAAAGTCATATTTTCGTCACTGAACAGCACATGTCGCTATGTCGAGGTCAACTTTTCATCACTTGAAAATTACGTGACTATTTTGAGCTAAAATAAAGTCATTTTGACTTTGTATTGACTTTAGTGTGTTCCTTGGGCATTATAATCAACTAATAGACAAGACATTATCATCGAAAACATGTTTTTCTTAGAGATGCCATGATATTTCTTTCGTCGTCTATAAAAGGGGACCTCTCAGATTGTGGTAGCAGTCCGTCGGTCATCTCCAAGTGGAAAATATAAGGTCGTAAAATAGAAAAGACGTCATTTCGACATCGAAATGTCGAAACATTGACGTCAAAATTACATCGAAAAATCAAAGTGATCAAAGTCATCGGTATCAAAGTTTTCGGCATCGAAATAAAATCAAAGGTGACGTTAAATATCGCTTCTGGCAATAAGCTTTAGATCAGGTCAAAACTTAAATGGGTGCGAGGAAAACTACTCGGTGATTTTTTAATATAATTAGTCTTTGTCTTTAAATCTTCACAGGATCTAAAGGCAAAAAGACCAATTATTAAAAAATTATTCATTAAGTATAGTTTTCAATAAATTTGCAGGAAATAAATAATAAAAAACTGCGAATAACATCTTTAGAATGAATATCTTGGATTCTTCTTTAAGAAATATTTTCAGCAAAAATTAAGAAGAATTCAAAGTTCCTTTTCTCAAGAAACTTCAAAATTAGTAAAACTTTTTGGTTAAAACTAGAACTTTTTCTCAAAAAATGGCACTTAAAAACAATATTGCTATGATTGAAATTTGATTTCTTTCACTGTATGTATATGTATAAGGTATCTCTAGATGGGGAAAAGGTGAAATTAGAGAAATGGAAACTTTAAGTTTTGCATTTTAAATTTGTAGCAAAATGCAAAATTCAGTGATTTCCTTGACCATCGAAACGCGAACCACCAAGTTTCAGTCATTCGGTGGAAATGTCGTCAAAATTACGTAAATTTGACATATAGTTCTTTTGAGAGAAATTTCTTATTTTATGCGTGAGTGTAATTATTTTATTAATTTAAAATTACACGCATACATTACATGCCATAATAAGAGAGGTATTATCGATATTATGTATGTATATACATATATATATATATATATATATATGTATACGTACTATCCCCTAACCCCCTAATCCCATTAGTGGTTATAGAGTTATATGTTCGTAAAGTCGAGCAACTCTAAGAGTTAATATACATTTTCGACTGCCATTCTGCGGCAACCTGAGTACGTTGCAATAAGAAGCAAAGTTTTTTCGTATTAAAAATTATATTTCCCAATTTATTCTTACAGATTAATCTAGAAATGGTAAACGTTAATATACGAAAACTTACTCAACAACAGCATTAATTTTTCGTAAGTTGAGATATAACCGTCCAATGGTGATGTCATAGATATTGTCGGATCAATTATCACTGGTATTGTTGTTTTTTTGCATGGCGCCACTTCATATTTATTTAAGAGTTTTATTAACGTAAACTTCATTAGTAAATAACCGAGTCGAGTGCCTGCAAAATGTAAATGTTAATATATAATTTATCACATTTTTCTAACAAAAAAGGATTTGCGATTTTATTTTGTTATTTCACAACTTTTTAATTAAAACTATTATTGTGATTTCGTAATTATAGAAATAATTAGATATTTTTAATTATTCTATAAATACAAAATCTAATTAGACTAAAAGTATCGATCGATATTATTACTAATAATATGATTTAATTGCATCAATAATTAAGCCATCGTAGTTTATCTCTGATTTCTTCATTTCTGACTTCCGTATTGCGCAATCTGTACACGTAAAAAATATTTTAACGTTTATGCTACTCGGAATTTTCAAATTCAAGTCAAATGCAATTCGTTCATAATTTGCCTAAATATAAAAATATATAGATTTGTGTTTTTATTATAATATAATTATAAAGCATATCTTTTATTTTCTTGCTTATTCTAATTTTATATGTGCATGTAACATCAAATTCTTCTTGATATGACAATTAAACCCGACTTCCTCACCTATACACATATGTGGACCGTCTCCGAATGGGAAATAAACGCATGCCGGTATATTACATTTATTCTTCTCATTGAATCGCTCCGGATCGTATTTATCAGGATCGGGGAAATATTTTGGATCATAGTGTAGTCCAAGCATCGGGATATAAACAGGCGTGCCCTTTTTGAGTACGAGATTAGAATTCGGTACTTTATAATCTTGCATCGCAATACGACTCAGGAATCCGAATGGTGGATATTTTCTCAAAGTTTCCAATACTACCATATCCAGATAGGATAGCGACATAATCTAATAAAGATTGGAACGTATTATTTTTACATCGGAGATATATCAAGTTTTAAGATTTGCTCGGAAATAAAATCAATGGACGAAAGAAGTACGTGCATTTAGCAAAGGTCATTGACAATATTTGTGTAGAATTTGTTACAAAACTTCTTTGACGAAGTAGCACACGATATTTGAGTTACCATGTCGTATGTGATGTTTCCGTCGGAATTGTTAAGAGCCTCGACTAGTTCTTTTCTTAGCGTACTTGGAATTTCAGGTTGCAACGCGAGTTCGTACAATGTGAAAGCAATGGGTATTGCGGAAGTATCGAAACCAGCTGAGAAGAAACTGGCCGCTTGTGCCACGAGGTCATTCCCATCGAATTCTAAAATTTCATTTATTTGTGGAGTTTTGAAGGCTCTTCATATTTGCCGCGATTAAAGTTGTTTAACGTAATTGTTGACTTGCTTATTCTAATTTTGTCGATGCAATCCATTAATTGTACATCTTTATATATTTAAGGATATATTTATATAAATATGATTATTTTGCTTACTGAAGCCTTCAATCTCTTCATTATTATTGTTCTTCTTGAGCTCGATCAGAATATCGATGAGGTCGTATCTCTTTTCGCCGGACTCCATGCGCCTATTGATTGTCTCCCAGAAAATTTTGCGTAAATAGTAGGTGGTCTCTTCACCGAACAACTTTACTTTAGTTATATGAGCTAGTTCTGGCAGGAAGAATATAGCAAGCAACTCCCAGCTGCGCCTGTAATTGTTTTTGAAAATCTTTTTGCTATAATTGCGAAAATCACTGGTTGGATCTTTAAAGAGTTCACGTCGAGTCCATAAGCAGTGCTGCTGATTATATCCATGGTTAATTTGGCACTTATATCTTTTACATCTATAATTTGCCCCTTACCTGCCGACAATGTCATTAGTTGATGAAATCTGTTTAACTGTAGATATTATACTGATTCTCGCATTGTTCTTATTATTTGCTCATATTTTTTTATGCGTGGAATAACATAAAATACTTTAAAAAATTCGACGTATCTCTATATACATGCGTTTATTTCACGAATTGTTCAATATATCCTTCAACTTACCATCCAATTTCAAAGAGTCCAAATAATCATCTAAATGCTTTCCGCATTCTATCATTAGGTAAAACATTTTCTTCAGTTTATTGGTTGTAAAGAATGGCGTCAATTTCGTCCTTACAATTTTCCAAGCTGGATTTTTGATGATGAAGAGGTTGGCGGAACCAACACGATCATTTGGATCGTTCGACATGTATCGATTGAAGAAGACGTTGAAGTCTTTTATCATGACATTCTGAATGAGTTCGCGATCGCAAAGCAACAAGTAGGGCTTGTCGAAAACGTAAAAACCTATATAAGGTCCGTCCTTCGCACGCTCGTAGAGTTCTTTTAGGAAATATGACGGTGCTTTCTTTAGAAGTAGACATTCCATAAAATTGCCCACAAATGGTGTTGGCGTTATTTCCATAACGCTTTGTTTTTGCCAGTACTTAAAATTGCGCGTCATATAAAGATAAGCGATTATAACGAGAGTTGCAAGAATTATTATGCCATCCAGGCCCCAGTAATCTGTTATGATCGCCATTACGCAGCGTCTGCAAAAAATTTTTATTGTATTTGTATAAAAATATAGGATGTTATATTTTAATAATTTAACAATTTTAGTAATAAGAGTAAAGAAATATTATTATAGTATAATGGTTAATCGGTTTGAGACCTGACATTTAAAAGAGTTTTAAGAACTGATATTTGAAAAAATGCTTTCGGGTGCTTCGGTAGTTTAGGTGCATTGAGAAAAATGTCCATCGAATAAACCAATTAAATAGTGTTTCCTATGGTTAATTTTGCCGATTACGTTTTTCGATTAAATTATGGATACATCCGATGATATTTATCCGATGAAATGCAGTTACCGATAAAATTTGCTCGAAAAACTGATGATATTTTTCATCAGATATAACCGTTTGTTATTATGAAATTGGATTATCCAATTATATTTAATCGGACATTTTTCTCGGTGTACGTTTTACGCAAAGTGTGTGTGAAGGGCTTTATTTGTCATACCATGATTATTTCGTTATCTATAATATGTTTCGAAACCTAACGAGAGACCTTAAACATCCCGTCTAGCTGTCAACCGAGACGTTCAGTTTTAAGATTTTTATTTCTGATATTAATATTGCATTTTGCATCCTATTTATAGTATTTCAATAATTTACATCGTGTTTATGTTGTATTATATTTTGATAATGAGTAATTTTTTACTACTTGCAGTATTTTTAATATAAAATATTATTAAAATTTTAGTTGTATGCGACTGATATTAACAGATTATGTATAACAAATCTTAAAACAACAGGTTTGAAAATACTGAGTATTTTATTTATTTAATAATTAAAAAATTAATTAAAATGCTGACTGGGTAATGAAAGTAAAAACGCGATTAATGTTACCTGAGTTATCACTTATATTCGATTACACTTCGTGACCTTTTCGACTCTTATTTTAAATCATCCTTACAATAATAATTCAAACAGTATAGATCTTACAATTTTAGTTTGTCTAGGTGGAAAGTGCTTCTAGATTCCTTAGTCTAAAAGCAGATAAAATACTTTTATCTCGAGCGATTAAAGCCAACTGTTCGGGACAAATAGGTGACTCGAAGATATATGTTGGAAGGAGGTTTCCACACAGCATTTTACATTTCAAATACACAGTAAGCAGATACATGAAATTTGAATATTGCTATATATCAGATACATAATACGTAGGACTCATGTACCAGATACATACTCTCCAAAGTTTTTGGAGTGAAAATAGAACCATGGAGTGAAATATTCGCTCTATTGGAGCAAATATTTACTCTATTAGAGCGAATATTTCACTTCATGATTCTGTTTTCACTCCAAAACTTTCGAGAGTATTTAATATCGATAAATGCCCTGTAGACATGTAATTTACGTTATGCATTATCATATATAAGATATACTCATATATAAGAGTGTATTCTAATTTGCGCTCATATTTTTGCGAGTCAGATTAGTCACTTAGCATCGCTCTTTAAGATAGTTATTTCGTAAAATTATTTATGTAAGAATTGTTCCTGATTTTTACAGTTTATTCTTTACATTAATACGTGCAAAATAAGACTAATTAAATAAAAATTGGACGACATAAAGTTCTAAAAAAAAAGTTAAATCTTTCGAATCTATTTTATATTATGTATTAATCGTAAGGGTATTCTTTATAATAATATTGTATCAAGATATACCATTTTAATAATTGACTGGTTCCTGTTTGGAAGAACTACCTTAAGGTAGTTGTTTCGCGACAGTAATGCTCAAAAGTTTCTTCCAGACAGGAACCAGCACTCAATTATTACAATGATATATCTTGATGCAATATTGTTCTAAAGAATACATTTACGATTAATACATAATATAAAATAGATTCGAAACATAATAGTTTGAGGCGCTGATGCCACATCTCTTACACTACACTCATGTCTGCTACATAATTCTTTCCGAATTTCAGTTTTAACTGTTTATATTGTTGAAACGGAACGGTCAATAATTTTGATTTTTTTTCTAGTTATTCGTTCTATTTTACATTATAACATGCAAATATTAATATTTTAACACATAATAGTATGTGTAAATAATATTTCACGTGTAATAATATTACAATTAATTATATTCTTACGTGTAATAATATTTTTAACGTGTTTTACACGTAATATTTCATGTGACATTGTAAACTTTAATTTTTTTTTCAGAATTTTGAGACGGTTAACTTCAATTTAATTAGTCTTATTTTGCACGTATTAATGTAAAGAATAAACTGTTTTGAAACAATTGTCACATAAATGATTTTACAAAATAACTACCTTAGTTATAAGATATCGTGATAATTTATAATGACTCTCCTTATAAAATCAGATACTTCGAGTTTACTGATAGTGTTCACAAACAAAAAAGTATCACAAAATTAAATTTAATATAAAACTTAAAGATAAGTTCAAAAATAGTTACTGTTCATACCGTATCGCTTTGACACGCAGTGTACTTGTATATCATGACATTTTTGAAGTTTGGAGATGGGCTGATAAATTATCACATTGTAAACGCACTCGTATCTCACTCTGTTGATTATGAGTCGGAAATTGATTATTTTCTTTACAAGATAAATTACAAGATAATTGTACACGTTAAATACGTAAAAAGAGATAGACTTCTCGCTCTAATTACTTTTGTAAGATAACATATGCGGGAGAGCATGCATTAACAAACCAGTGTTTTTCCTAAAATTATCAATTTTGAAAGATAACATATGCGGGAAGGCGTGCATTAATAAACCAGTGTTTTCTCTAACGTATTATCAATTTATGCTGCAACTTATGTGCAACAGATTATGTGCAACAAACATGAACACATTATTCTTACAATATATTTATTTTTTATATATTTAATCACATACAAATTTTGTTATTAAAACGTTAGTTGCATTTGTGCTCGGAATTATTTGCACTTCTGGCCGGATTTTTCAGACAAACGCCTGCTTTTGTCCCCTTGCTGCGCGCACTCCAGCGAATGTCAGTTTACTTCTCGATAGTGGGGCGTGTATCAGGAGCGGCCCTGTTTGAAGAATGAAATTCTCGGAAATCCAATTCTCGGAATTTTTGATAGTGCCACCTCTTTGCTGATCATGTTCTCCTGATACTTTGCCAGTTTTCACGATTCTTGATTTTTGTGATTTAAAGTTGGAAATTCTCGGAAATCCAATTCTCGGAATTTTTGATAATGCCACCTCTTTGCTGATCATGTTCTCCTGATACTTTGCCATTTTCTCGATTCTCGATTTTCGCGATTTGAATTTGGAAATTTTCGGAAATCCAATTCTTGGAATTTTAGATAGTGCCACCTCTTTGCTGATCTGTTCTCTTGATACTTTGCCAGTTTTCTCGATTCTCGATTTTCGCGATTTGAATTTGGAAATTCTCGGAAATTCAATTCTCGGAATTTTAGATAGTGCCACCT